TAGAATTTTACTTCTACTACAGCTTTCGCTTGAGTATCTATATGACCTTCGTCAGCTGCGTCAATAAAGTCCAACTCAATCGTAATCAAAGGTCGTAAAACTACACGTTGTACGGTCGATGACGCTTCAAATAAATTGAGCCAGTTGTATTATACGATAAGTGTTAATAGATAATTCAGAATCAGCGGGCAGAGTAGCTTGATCAGATTTCCTTCTGTTGGCTCAATTTAATACAACTGGCTCAATTTATTTAAAGCGTCATCGACCGTACAACGTGTAGTTTTACGACTTTTGATTACGATCGAGTTGGACTTTATTGGAATTTGTGCAATAGGCATGAAAGGCCAAAATGGTACTTCCTGCAATTGAAACACGACTTGGTTTCAAATCGACACGATTTTGAAGCATGACTTGATTGTAAACATTTGTAGGAGAGCTTTGTCGCTATTAATCGGTCGTTTCTTCTTTTCGTGGTTCTGCACCGATCATATTGGCTGTGGTCATAGTGTTGCTTCAGTGCATCAGCACTTCAGGAGAGCAGGCCCTTTGATTTTGGACTATCTATTAAGATTTCTCCCGCAGCACAACTGCCGCAGCTGAAAATGCTGAAATTCTCAGGGTGCCTGAGAGATGGGACTATACCTTGCAATACTTTCGAACGATCGACCTATCTCAACAGAGGGACACCCACTGTTCCCAAATTCAGTTAGTTGATAGAATTGTTGTGAATCATCACAACATATCCGGGTGAGAGATCAACGAAAGCTAAAGGTGTAATGTCTCGATCGTAGACACAACACTGCTATCGGCTTTACATCGCAAACATCTGCATGTTGTTATCAGCTGGCCACTATCACTAAGGACTAGCGATATCTGATATGAGGACCAACATAAAAGGATTCGTCAAGACAAGGGGGATATTCCCTCTCGGTATTATTGGAGAAAAGACTTCTAATACCTACGTTGGATAGGACATCAAGCTCTAAAAGCTTTAGCTTCCTTTCTACACTTTATTTGACACCACTTTATGATTTATTTTGCTGTCGGTATTTTGTTCCTTCTCATTATATATTGGATCCTCGTACATATAAATTTTACTCTTCCCATTTACGTTGTATTTCATCATATTTCAGATCATCTGTCAATAAAGTTTAGAATAGCAGTCGTTAGCCAGACCCATCAAAGTTCTCACATATAAATTGAAGTGCCGTGATCTATTACCTTTGAGACTGAAGAACTGTTTAAGAAATCTCGAAAGGTCACAACATTTTTTGGTGCCCAGGGTGAGGCATGGCAAAAATCATTAAAATCTGGTTAACGAGATTCTCAAACAAACTCAGAGAAGATTTGAAAGAAAACTATGACGTGTTGAAAAGGGAAGGAAAAGCCAGTAAGGAGGAGTTTAGCTGCAAGCCACAAATATTGAAGGATCAAACTAAGGAAGGACTCTCCAAACTGGAGGCAAAGAAACAAGAATATAAGGAATTGATTCAGGAGTTACAAGGGGAAGAAAAAAGGCAAGCAGAGGAGGAATACGCAGTATGCCATCAAAGAAAACGATTATTTAAACGTTATTATTAACGCTACAGATGCTCTCGTCAGAATAAAGAGAGAGCTCCTGACCAAGGAGACGCCAGCTGGAAAGCAGGGGTGAAGACACGTACGAAACTCGTCAAAGAGTATCAAGCTTTCCCGGATTATGCTACCCATGTATAAAGGAAATCTTCTCAAATGGGAAGGTTTTTGAGACGCCTTTGGAGCTGCGGTTGACCAACAGAAGTTGTCTCCGGGGCAAAAATTTAGTTTTTCAAAGGGATGTCTGGAAGGAGACGCCTTCAAAGCCATTGCAGGCCTACGTGTGGTCGACAGGAGCTACGAGGAAGCTTAGTCGATCCTAGTAAGGGCAGAAGTTGCTGAATTGCCAGCAGACGGATTGGAGTACGATGTGTATTACCATCAGAAGTTCCACAAATATTTCCTTCTAATTAGATATCAAGAATTCACCCCACCCGGACATGAAGTAGAAGTGGAACGGGTTACGGTCTTTGCTATCAAGCCGCATTATGGAACAACCACCCGGGATAACAAACTATTCTTCCATAGAGAGCAATGTCAAGGTGAAGAGCAATTTAAAAAAATAAACAGTGGGAATTCTTGATGTACATATTGCAAGAATATGCGGATGATCAAACTAGAACAGTTATGATGAGCACAGTGGCGAAACCAGAGAAAATCAAGTGCGCAAGTTGCGTAATTCCCCCAAATAATCGCCAAGCAAAATTGGAGTTCACTATTCCTTATAAGGAAGGAGCTACTCCAGAGGACACGTTCTCCAGACGAGTGAAATTTTGGGTTC